AACTATGCTGGCCAATTCATTTTAAAGTCGATATTGGCCGATACCGACGACATGCCGATATTATCGTGCATCCCCATTAATTGCCTTTGTATCTACACATGTAGAGGCCCCTCGTCCAAGGAGTCCATCATGTTGCACTGCCTTGTTTCTGGTGTAGCCCAGAACCAGCAAACAAAACACTGGCTCTAGATAGGGCCATTCATGTTTTCACGTCGGCCACTGTAGATTTCAGCCCCTCTGCGACAAACACTTTTTTAAATGTGAAACTGCTTTACTTAGTGTTTTTAAATCACCAGGTCAGTTTGTTTCAAGAGGAAGAGACCTCTGCGAATTATTCCACCCCTGGTTAAATCATTCTTAACATCTGGATTTTAGTTCATGAGAGAATTCTAGAGTACTGGCCAAAAAACTGACCTTTGACCTTCAAACAACAAATTCTAATTGGTTCATTCTTGAGTCCAAGGGGACATTTGTGTCAAATGTGAACAAATTCCTTCAAGGTGTTGTTGAGATATCAAGTTTAGGAGAATGAAACGGATGCAACATCACACTGACCTTGACCTTTGATCACCAAAATCTAATGAGTTCATAGCTGAGTTCAAGTGAACATTGTGCCAATTTGAAGGGATTCCCTAAAGGCATTCTTGAGATGCTGCATTCACAAGAATGGGACAGAGGGACGGATGAACAACCCGAAAACATAATGCCTCCAGTCACAGCTTTTGCCAGTGGAGGCATGGAAAAGGTGAGCACACATTAGCAGGTGCTGGACTGGTGGCCCATCTGCAATGAGCCCAACAGCATCAGAGAAACACTGATTTGTTATATGACATCATTCTGTGTTTTTATCGATTTACATCACTGATAATTTGGCTCCCAATAGGAACCTCTTGAACATCTGGATCAGAAAAAAGGTGAGCTCAAATTACATTATTAAAGATAAAGGTGAGCAAACATAAGCAGGTGCTGGGCTAGCAGCCCATGTGCAAAGTGCCAAACAGCATCATTTGTTATGTTAACAGCTTTATTCAATGTTTTTACAAGTTTTAATCATCTGTTCCATTTGTTTTGGAGAGGAAGAGACCTCTGCGGATAATCCATCTTCCAGTAAAAACCTCCTGAACAATGAACACTGACGGTATCCTCACCAGGCGTTCAGGCTTGGCACATGGGAGACGTTTCAGCTGGTTGCAATCTGCAGTCCTCACCACTAGATGGCACTAAATCCGACACACTGCTCCTTAACGGGTTCCTTGTTTTGTGATGCTTTCATGTCATATTTCTGTTAAACTAAACTTCAAATCTGAAAGCTGCTCAGGAAATTTGACTGCTTTTAGTTTTTACCTGATGCATTTTTCACTTCAGCCGACAGGCTTATTAAACTTTTAACAAGCCCGAAGGTAGCATAAATTTGTCTATCCACATGAATGAATAATGCAGCTTCAGTGAAATGAAAAAACAGCAATGTTGCTGTTAGACGATTGTATCTGATAATATTGATATATTAATCTGCATAAATCTCTGGAAACATTAAACAACAATACAATAAAAGATTGCTTGAGTCAAGGAGTGTTGTAGAGATTCTCAATTTTCTCCACTGCAGCAGCGAACACTGGTGTGAAGGAAAATATCAAGGCTCAACTTGTTAACTTGCAGTCTATGATCACAGATACATCAGAGCAAAACTGGCCCCTGGCCACTGAGCAAATTGAATTTATTTTTGGAATCAAAACGAGGAATAAAATCGTGTTTACAGCCTGCCTGACTCTAATCTTTACATCTGAGCGAGAAAATTCAAAGTCCAGCTCCACAGCACACAGACAAGAATTCATTGATCCGGACTGGGGATACTACAGTATCTACTACTACAGTCCAGAGTCACATACAGTACGGTTCTCCTATGTGCTATTTTCCTGATATAACAAGTGTCTAAAATTGGTTCAGAGAGCCGGAGCAATTCCAGTTCACTAATACCCACCAGGCTGAAGGTCAATTTATCATCTCAGTGACTCTGAGATTCACCTGCTCACAAGATGTTGATCCTCTTCAGGCGGCTTGCCTCAACTGCATGAGGAATTTAAAACAGATGGCATTTTTACTCAAGTGACTCTGCCCCTTATCTGTATGTATGAATACAATCCTTTCTGGTTTACATCTGCATCTTATTCTATGGCGCTGAAGGGGAAATATCTGAACCATTATAGTTTCTGCCTTGTGTACTATTATTTTTTATTAAAGATTGATATTTCTATTAGAGCTGCAGCTAACTATTATTTCTATTATTAATCAATCAGATTATTATCATATTATATTTGGTGTTGTTCACGAGTGAGGGTAGAATGGAGCGTGAGATGGATCGGCAGTTTGTTACAGCGTCTGAAGTGATGCCGGCGCTGAGCTGAACCATCGTGGTGAAGAGGGAGCTGAGCCAGAGGGCAAAGCTTTCGATATACTGGACGGTCTACGTCCCAACCCTCACCTGTGCTCATGAGCTCTGGGTAGTGACCAAAAGAATGAGATCGCTGACACAAGCGGCCGAAATGAGTTTCCTCTGTGGGGTGGCTGGGCGCAACCTTAGAGATAGGGTAAGGAGCTCGGACATCCGGAGGGAGCTCGGAGTAGAGCCGCTGCTCCTTCGTGTCGAAAGGTGGCAGTTGAGGTAGCTCGGGCATCTGATCAGGATGCCTCCTGGGCGCCTCCTGTTTGAGGTGTTCTGGCCACGTCCCACTAGTAGGAGGCCCCGGGGCAGACCCAGAACACGCTGGAGGGATTATATATCTAATCTGGCCTGGGAACGCCTTGGAGTCCCCCAGGAGGAGATGGAAAGCGTTGCTGGGGAGAGGAACATCTGGGGTGTTTTGCTTGGCCTGCTGTCCCCACACTCAGCCCAGATAAGCGGATGAAAATGGATGGATGGATGGAGTGAGTCAAAAATAGTTTGCAAATGTCATAAAATAGTTATTAAAAAGCTCATGGTGATATTTTGGTGACATACTTGTTTTGTTTGAACAACCAAATTGATTTTACTTTACTTCATACTTTCACTTTTGCTCTTATACCTTCCCTCTGAGCATCTTCGTTACTCAAACCTCAGAAGGTTTGGCAAATAAGTGCTCCTAGCTTGCAAGTTAGATCACAGGTTACATACATGCAAACAAGTGCTTTCAAGGCTGCAGCTAAGTTTCGATTTCCAATCAAGCCCAGGATGCAGTCAGATCAGATGCTACATGCTATAGCTACGACATAACAACAAGACTGACTTCATGGTGGAAAAAGAAAATGGCGTCCTGCAGCAGAAAGGATGAGTAATGATTCAAGGAGATGAAGATTTGTGACAGGGAACTGTGAGGGTGACTGCTGCACTGCAGTGTGTTTCCTTAAATCCTTCATCCTTTCAGTTGTGAAGAAGGCCTTGTTTTTCTTCAAGTGTGACGTAGGCTTGATTTTAAGGTGGTGTTCTTGTAAAGGAGAAATAAACTTGCTGGCTTACTTGCTTGTACTTTCACTTTCAATACTTCAGTGCATTTAGTATCATAAAATAACTTTTAATACTGAAGTATGGTAAATGTCAGACACTTAGAATATTACTGGAGTAAAAGTTTCAAATAGGTGACTTTAACTTTAACCAAAGGTATTTTCTGGTAAGATATCTCATTTTCCTTGGGTATGTTCTTTCAGGTATGTCATCCATCACTGAAGCTCACAAAAAATCTATTGCACACATTCAAAACTTCATAGGTGCACTCTCAAATGAAATCATGGAAATGCCACTTTTGGATCTGTCGACCAACAGCAGCATGGAACCAACTTCAGTTTAGACTCCATTGAGTATTATACTACACTGTTCAACACAATCACAAACCAGTGTGGATCAGCTGTATGGTCTGCAGACCCAACAGGCCGGTGCTGTTGCCATAGGCACTCTGTGGCTCGGTAATGTATAGGAACAGACTGGCTGAATGTCAGCCAGTAAATGAGCCGTGACTTTCACCAAGACAGCAGAGTCAGCAATAGATGGATACACATAACTCTCCTGTTCTCCATTCCTTTTGTGTTTTTTCCTCCCTTCTGTCCCTAATATCCACACACACACACACACACACACACACACACACATAGACATGCACACATACACACATGTGAGGATGTCAGATTATTTCTACAAGCTTGAAGAAGTATGTCCGACCTCTGCCTGACCTTTTATCTGGTCCAATCGGCTGTAAGAACAACTCCTCTCCATCACCACCTGACCTTGACTCTCCGCTCCATTAGACACACTCTCACACACGCACAAAACACATGCACTCACAGGGGCCTTCACATGTCCACACCTTCAAGTATTTGACAAACACATGTTTGTTCTGGCTAGGGGGTTAATAAACAAAGTGTCACAGGCTGGTGCTGCATCCTGCAGAGTGGCAGGATGCAGCAGCAGAATCAGGAAAGGGAAGCGAGGACTAGTGAATGACGGGCCATCATGGAGGGAAGAGGAAGTTCAGACAGTGACATGGAGCGAGAGATAGTGTTTGAACGACAGCGGGAAACAGCTGAGTCCAGCTGACAGCGAAAAACCTCAAACCGCAGTGATGTCACAACGTCACTCTTACTGAGCACTTCCTGCGTCTCAGAGAAAGCCCCTGAAATACCTGATCAAGCAGAGAGGAATCATAACCCCCCTGCAGAGCTAAAGAAAGTCATGCAAATGCAGCAGAGAAGGAGAAAGTGAAGAAAAAGGAGTAAGGGAAATACTCCTAAAAGCACTTTAATGTGCCCCAGTTTCTGCGTCTCCTCTCTGCTTTTACATTCGCTCCATTTCTCTCAAGCTTGTGCACTGCTTTTATCTCCTGTCTTCTCTGTTTCCTTCAGTTGCAGCGCACATTCCTATTCTTTATTCCATATAGGCTCGGAAAGAATGAATAAAAGCTGATAAGAGAGGGGAGGGGCTGCTATCACAAAGACAGACTAATGTGCATCAAAGTCTGTTTATGTGCTTATCTTACCTTGTACACCTGCCCATAGGTGCCATTTCCCACCAGCTCAACCAGCTCAAAGATGCCAGCAGGATCCTGGAACAACAAAGGAAACATAGTGGGATCATTAGGATGAATAGAAGCGTTATTCATATATACAACTCAACATAATGTTTAAAAAAAGGTTTCCAGCTACAGCTTTTTTTATGCAACACGGTACAGATGACAGGAATGATGTAGCATGACATGTCTATTTTCTTAGCCATGCTAAAGACGTAGCACCAGGGATGACAGTCAGCAGGTAGGTCAGTCGGTCCAGCACCTTGGTCAAGACTGAAATAGCTCAACAACTATTGGAAGGATTGCTAAGAAGTTTTGACCTGACACTCACATGGTCCTCAGAGGATGAATTGCAATGACTCCTAGCACCACCAGGAGGTTGACGTTTTTGGTTTTGAATGAAATGCAGTGTCTTCCACAGAATTGTAATGTGTGCTGGTGGCTACCACTGTCTGAATTCAAAGGTTCTTGCGTGTCTGTGAACGCAGCACAGGTGTAACTCTTCATGAGTGTTTGACTTCAGACTTTTTCCACCAAAACTTAGCTCCCACTTAAGTTAGCCAATGTTACTTAGCTAATTTTGATAAAATTACTTACCTAAAGTTATCTAGCTAGCAGGGTGAACCGCTGAGCATTACACAAGCTATGCTAACTTCTTTGGACATTTCCATCATACTCAGCTGTACTTTGTGTTTAGTGCTAATTAGCAAATGCTAGCATGCTAACATGCTACACTATGATAGTGAACACTGCAAACATTACCTGCCAAACATCAGCATATTAGCATTGTCATTGTACACGTGCTAAGAGGCTGACATTAGCATTTAGCTCAAAGTGCCACTGTGCCTGAGTACAGGCTCACAGACCTGCTTGCATGGCGGTAGACTCTTAGTCCTGATATCTATTTTGCAGCAGTGGATAACGGCATTTCAAGCCACGTCTCACTATCATCCATCCATCCATCCATCCATCCATCCATCAATTTGCATCCGCTTATTCGGGGTGCAGATGTCCCTCTCCCCTGCAACGCTTTCCAGCTCCTCCTGGGGAACCCAAGGCGTTCCCAGGCCAGATGATATATCTAATCCCTCCAGCATGTTCTGGGTCTACCCCAGGGTAGTCTCGCTCACCAGACCTTTCTCAAGAAAAAAAAAAGGTCTGGCTGTGCCGTCTCTCACTTTAAGATTGGAGAAAAAAACGCCCCGGCTGCTTGTATTTCTTTCAACCAATCACAATCGTTCTGGGCGGTGTCACAGCAACGCTGGGCTTGCAAAAATATTGCTGGGGGAAACAGGTTTTGGTGTAACACGCCCACAAAAATATCGCCTACAGGACGCGAACCATGGCAGAAAAATGGCTACATCCCCGCAAGATCAAACACTGCAAAAGATAGTAAAGGACGTGTTGAAAACTGCTACACAACCGGAGGTGGTAGGGCGGGACTTCAGCGGGTGGCTCGTTCCGCCCAATGAGAGGCTGATCTCTGCAACAAACTTCCGCCCACTCAGACTACCCCAGGGCCTCCTACCAGTGGATCGTGGCCAGAACACCTCCAACAGGAGGTGCCAGGCAGCATCCTAATCAGATGCCTGAAAAGACGGAGCGGACAGTCTCACTCCCAGGGCTGCAAAATACGCCACTTAGGCAGTACCTCTGGCATAACTATAGTATCACTTTAGTTATAAAAGTGATGTTGGGGCATATAAGCATGTGTATGAGACACACAGGGCTGCCAACCAGCTCCGATGTAAACCCATCTGCATCATTCAGAGCAACCGACATAGTAGAAAGAGTGCAAAAGCAAAGGACTTTGACCCAGGAGATTGGTGTTTGTGTCCTGTGTGAAATCACAAGTAAACGTCAAGTTATTTTATCAACATCTTCCATGATTTTCCCCCAACCCTAACTGAGTAGTTTTGTTGCCTGAACCTAGCAGCTTACCCCTTCATAGTCATTCGAGTCGACTCGTGACTTACCACTGAGCCTCTCTGCGTCATCAAGATCCGCTGACCCCCTAAATCAAGACACAACGCAAAAGGCTGCCCTGGTGTCATTATAAAAACACCAAGAGCTTCTGCCCGAGTGTCATAATATGATGAGTAGGGATGAGAGTGTTGGCATTTTTAACAGTGGTGTGATATGGTCCTCTAACCCAAGCACTGCTGATGTCTTACTCTACCAGCTGAGCTCTCTGGGTGTTGATACATTGGTCTGAAATGCAGTGCTGGATTGTTTTAGGCTTGGGTCCAGACTAGCTAATAATTTAAGCCCACAGTCGCTAGGTTGCCAACACTGAACTCGACGCATCTCTGACAGGGAGCAACTTGAACAGTGCATAAAACCCACTGACCTCTGCACACACACACACACACACACACACACACACACACACACACACACACACACACACACACACACACCTCCCCCTTCCTCTCTGCCGCGTGTTGCTACGGCATTCCAACAATAGCTGGTATTCACCCTCTCCTTCCTTCTCTCCCTCTTTCACACTCTCTCTGTTCCACCAGCTTCTGTTCTCCAACCAGCCGAAGTCCATCTATGTCTCCCTCACCCTTTTATCTACACATGCTTTCTTTCTCGCCTTCATTCCTGATGGGGTCCAGGACAAGTCCTTCGTTCCAGCAGGGTCTCAGAAACACTGAGGCCCTTTTACCAGCTTCTTTTACGTCTCTTTTCTCCCTGTGCGCCCTTCTCGCTATGAAAAAGTTCTGCAAATGTCTTTTTCTTTGCTGTCCGTCTCAGCTGTCTTCAACTTTGTGCCTCATTCTTTCTGCCAGAGGCCTGTGGAGATGTCAGAGCTAACGTTGGGCCCTTGTTTACTCAAGAATTCCATATTCAAAATGTCTATCATCAGCGATCCTTTAAAGTGTGAGGTTCTGTAGGGTTGTAGGGCTCTCACTGAAGATTCTCACTAGAAACTATTTGTCATGGATTGCCTTGTTACCAATTCTCCTGGACCAGCTAAAAATACACCAGTATCCAAGGTGATGGCTGTCATTTTTCATCCTTTTTTTACTTTTGAAATGGCTCTTCAGTATCATCTAGGGACGAGCCAAAGAAGATCTCTTACTCCAGGCAAAGCTGGAGGCTTATTTCGCTGCTGATTCACAGAAATAAACTGCAGTATTGTGTAGATCCACACTGGGAGTCATGCAAAGCTTGAGAACAGACGATATTACACGATACCCACTTTTCACAGACAATTCCCCTCTCAATAAAGCATCTCTTTATTTCCGTTCTGAAAAGCCACACATGCACTCTATTTCCATCCCAGTCTCTCTCGTCTCTAACCTCGTCACTTCTCTCTCCTGTGTCTGTCGTTCACGGTCTGTCCTGGGTTTTTTTGTTGTTTTTTTTATCAGACTCTTTGTCGCCTTCTCTTTCTCACTCCCTTGCACTTCTCTTTCATGCCCTGCCTGTGAATTTTCAATTGAACTTTCAGCTAACTTTGATGGCATAACTCGCAAGATCAAAGCGTGCTGTCACAGTACATGGGGAAGGAAGTGACACAGGATTATGGCCAAATGAAGAAAGAAAACTAAAAGTGCATTCTGGGGCTCTACAGTATAATACTGTGTAGGCCTGCATGCTCAAGTAGGGCCCTGTGAAATCCGTTTTTTTTTTTTTTTTTTTTTTTTTACAGATTACTTGTTTTCCATTTTAATTTCTCTCAGTTTTGTGTTTTACACTCTAAGCACATTTTGTCAGAAGTGTCATCAGACTGTCAGCAGAGTGTCTAATCATGTGTTGGACTGATAAAACTTCCATTATTCAGTGAGGAAATATTCAATTTGATGTAATACCACATTCCACTATTTTTTTTAAATCAAAGAAAGTGCTTCAATACAGTTAGAAAACAAAGCAATTCATCATTTTGAAAATAAAGTGCTTTAAATCAATTAAAAAAATAAATAAATTTAGATGTTAGTGTCAAATTCCGCAATTTTTTGGGTGACTTAGCTGTCTCAGGGGCCTCTTCTGCATGACTGCAGGGTCCAACAACAGTGTTTACAGTCAGCATTTGTTTTCCAGCAACCCAACATCAAAAAAAGTCATTTCAATCACAATTTAGTGGGACTTCTTTACTTGTAGGAAAGGCAGGTAATGTGTTTTTGTACTCTCTGTGAATATAATTCAATTCATCTCATTTCAATATATGTTCAAACTATGGTAACACCTTATTTTGAAAACCGGACATTGTCATATGTAGCCTGGGCTGTTTCAGTGCACTTACACTTAGTTTGACCACAGAGAATCAAGTGACACTAACACAAACATCAGCTGCTGCCTTTGTATGACCCTAAAAGCACAGGAGGACTCAGTTCAGCTGACTAAGAAAAAGACTGGTGTCAAGCTAGCCATCACCCACAACGCCTCCCAGAGATGGCAGTGTTGGCATCCGAAATCAGATCAGCTGTTTGGCCCGATCCTCAGGCGTCATTCATGCTGAGCCTCAGCAAAGTTGGGTAACAGGATGTGGCATGGCTTACTTCATTCAGTATGCCAAGTTTGGGCCGATGCTGGGACAGGCCATTGTTGATAATGGCCCAATGATGACAGTGTAGGCAGCCAGAACCCAGCCAGCTGATTAGGCCCAATTCTGGGGCGTCATTCATGCCGAGTCTCAGCTGAGTCAGGCAATCGGATGTGGCACGACTAATGTCATCCAGCATGCCGAGTTTGGGCCGATGCTGGGCCAGGTCATTTTTGATAATGGCCCAGTGATGGCAGTGTGTCAACCAGAGTCGGGGCAGCTGATTTGGCCTGATTCTTGGGCGTCATTCATGCCGAGTCTCAGCCGAGTTGGGCGACCGGATGTGGCTCAGCTGATTTCATCTGGCATGCCAAGTTTGGGCCAATGCCGGGCCAGGTCATTCTTGATAACAGCCCAGTGATGGCAGTTTCAGCAGCAGGTATCAGGCCAGCTGATCTGGCCTGGTTCTAGGGCATCATTCATGCTGAGTCTCAGCCGAGTCGGGCAACCAGACGCGGCCTGGCTAATTTCATCCAGCATGCTG